CTGTTCCGGTGAAAATGGTGAAACCAAAACTAAACAATTTGTTTTATGTATGTTATGTAACATTCTTAAGTTGCACTAAGAATGTTACTTAAGTTGTATCAGACATATAAAACACAGCTTTCTCTTTATCTAATCCTAACAAAGCAGTTTTTGTTCCTCGGCCTAACCACACTGTGAACATTAACTTAACTTAGCTTAACCCACACAACCTTTATTTTGAAAGTCTAACCGGGAATTGCATATTTATTCTTGCTAACTAATTACATGAGAGGGAAACTAACAGCGTCATATTTTGTGGAGGGTCACTGACCAAACTGCAGTATTTGACGAGTTGGGAGTGAGAATTTATTGCCCATCCATTCATCAGTCTGTCTGTCTGTCTAATGTATTCCATCGATAAAGCAACATGGCTGCTTATGTGCTTAGATGTGCAGAGGCAAAAGCATAAGCTTGACATCACAATTGTTGCTTCCTAGTTGTGCCCCCATCACCCATTCCAGTACTGCAATGTCGAGCCATAGGTATAACTAAACAGTGGCAGGTGGATAAATGACAAAACCAAAATCATCACTTGCACACATTCAATATGATCCTTACCAGCACAATAATGGTGTAGTAATTATTAGTGTCGAAATGCCCCCCACAAACCCTCACCTCTGTCACTTTTTCTCTTCCATGGGAGTCTCTTGCTCACACAGAAGCAAGACAGTTCAGTGGAGTGGAAAATGCTTTTTTTTTCAGCTCAGTGTCTCTTTCACTGATAATTGTGTATTTGGTTTTACTCCTCTTAGTGTATTCATGCTTAGCATGGGTTTAAAACAAACTTACATAAAACAGGGAGATGTTTGGGCATGTCAGTGACATGAAAGACCAGGATCCACCAATCAGATCATCATAATGAGCCAGTAGACTGTAGAGTATTTCTATAGATCACTGGTGCTAGGCCTATGCTGCTTAAATTTGTTTATCTCCCATTTAACAGCCTTACAAAAGTGTAATTTTTCTAATTCATGGTAAGTTTTATAACTGTTCTTTCTGAAGGTCTGAAGGAACTAAGATAACCCTGATGTCATAGTGATGTCATTAGGGGTATACCAGTCACAAATTCAAAACAGAAATCTTGGGGTCTTTGAGTCAAAAGTGTCACCAATTCAGTGTCTGACCAACTGTAAAATATTGTCACACACTCCACTCCAGATTAGAGCAATACCAGATTATAGTAATATTTCATTCAAAGTCTCACTTTCAGCATCATCCCAAACACTCACCCCATGTAGACTTGGAAGGCTGTGTTGTAACCTTGTATCTTCCACCTTGGCGGAGCAATTATAGTCAGCTTGGACCGATTGTGGTAACTACTATCAAAATGGCTATTGAAATGACCACATATATTTCACAAACCAGTCCAACTGCAATGTCCAATTCCACTGTCCATGCCAGTATTTGTATATTCCAAACATCGTATTAACATTAAAGAGTAAGTGTGTCCGCAAGGAGATTTTGACAATCATAAAGAAGACATTAAGTTTATCAGGCAGCTGTGTAGGTTGCCATTTGCTTGTCCCACTAGATTCAGCCAAACTTCTCTAACCAAATTCATATTTTCTGGCTTGCAGTAACTTAAGGTGATACAAGAATACAACTAATGTAAAGACTTAACATCCTTTTCAGAACCTGTAAGTACCATACTTTTGAACATACTACAGTCTATGCATGCACACACACAAATACACACACTTAGTCTATGATTGAAGTGTCTTGTATTCTCCTCCCTATTTCTGCCTCCATCCCACATCAACACTTTCAACTGGGAATTAAATGCTGCCAGACCCCTTAATATCTGCTGCCTGTCAAAACCACAGCAGTCTTATGGCAGAGACAGACAGAAGAAACAGAGAGGAAAAGAGAGACAAAGATACAGCCAGTGGCGGAACTGATCCCCTGCAGGAGCCAGCTACTTTCTATTATAACACAAGTGTTCACTTTAGATGGCTGTCTTCTCTTAGCTGTAACACTGTAAACCTTTGAAAAGCTCACCACAGCTGACCTTTAACCTTGTGTATTACATTACTGCCATTACTGCCATCTTGGTTTCTTTGCCAGAATCATCTTTCTTGGACATTTCTGCCTATTTGCAGTTTAAGACTAACCCGACCCCTTCCCCACCCCCATCTGGATGTCTTCAGTCTGAAGGGATATATATTTGACAGAGTGGGGCTGAGAGTGGGATCATGGGACCTTTCAGAGCCTCATGTCCAGTCAGCTGGGCTGTTTGGTCCCAGAGGAGAGGGTGGGACAGGGGCAGGGTGGGTACCTCCTGGGAACAGCAGGGTTGCAGCTGGACGCAGCCATGCTTTGGGACAGTTGACAGTTTTTAGCCATGCTAGTGGGAAGGCTCTAGGGATGGCAATAACTGTACATATTTAGAAAGTCTTTCCTGGAAGAGGTGTTTTTGTGGCAAGAGAGCTTTCCATAAGCACCAGCTGCTGGATACTTTGACGAATGATGATAGTGATGCATGACCATCACCAGGGCGGGGGTTGGGTGGATTTGGGTCAACTTACTAGAGAATATTGTGTAGACAGGTCAAGTGACCAAGAAGCATTCCAAGTAAGAAACATTGCATGCAATAGTTTACCTTTAACCTTCTCTTTCTCTCTCACACACTTTCTTTCCCAAACACAACATGCAGGGAAATGCTGTGATGCAGGTTGGGTTTAAACAGAAATATAAAGCACAAGCTGGACTTTTGCAAAGTTTAGTTTATTTTCATGCGTGGGAAGACCAACTTCCTTGTAGAAAGAAGCTTGAGCTGCCCACCTCCTAATTACACAAACACAGTCATCAATATAGAAATATTATAAAATAATATGATAATACATTATCTACACTCCATTATGAAGATATCTGCTCCTGTTGCTATCACTGCACACCATTTACAAGAGGGACTTAGTGATTAACTTATCTTGTTGTGATACTGCATAGGTAATTTGCAATTATATATTGTCAACATATTGACTGTTTTCCTGCCCCATGTATGCTAACATTCCACATTTCCCTTATTTAAATTACAAATGCACCACCTCTGCCTTCACTCAATTGTTAAATAACTCCAATCATCTCAGGAGAGCAGAACAAAAATCATATTCAACATTACTCTTTTTTTAAAAGAAATGTCATCTCATTAATTCCAATTAAAAATTAAATTTTTAAACAGTATGGGGTTTCTTTAAGAAAGACATAATAACATCAAAAAAATATAAATGTATGTCATGTCATTACAGGTTGCAGGAGACAGAGAGAACAGTAGCAGTTAGAATAATGACAGAGTGGAGTTGTGATGGTGTTGACTGATTGTGTGCACTCCTTTTGATAAAAGCACGATTATCCATTTAGTCAATAAGTGGCTAATGCAGCACATTCTTGGTCTGTCATAACAAGCTAGTGTTAGCATAATTGTGGGTTCCCAGCATTGATGGATGAGTCGAGGAAAGAGGCATGTGGAGGAGGAGGAGGAGGAGGAGGAGCGGGGGAGGGGAATGATCAGTCAGTGTGTCATAAAGGAAAAGAAATCAATGCGAAGAAAGGAGAATAATGCAGCCAATTGATGATGGAGTGTTCACTCAAAAAACAAATTTCAGGCAGTCACTGTCTATTCATGTTTTTAATCATTTCTTTTCACTACTACTATGTATAGTATGTATTACTATGATCTAGAGTTATTCCATATCTTATCTGTCACCATAAAGTTCATAAACAAATATCAGTCTTTATTCAACCAATGGAGGAAAAAAACATGAAGTTTGAATATTAAGAAAAGTAAACGTTTTTTGACTGAAATCCCAGTGTTGTGTTTGAAGATTTAAATAATAGTATCCAAAGTAGAACAGGAACCAGAGCCTTCAGCCATCACACTCTTCTCCTGTACAACCTCTCTCCTTCTCCCTAACCCCACCCTCTCACTATAAACCCAACTGATTTGGGGGCTTGCTCATGGTGATAACTGTTGGGTCTCTGTAAATAATATTATAGTATGGTGTGTCTACATGTGATCCAGATATGCTCTATATGAAAAGTGCCCTAGGATAACTTCTGTCATGACTTGGCCCAATAAAAATAAAACTGAATTGCCAGAATAAAACAGTTTTTTAAATGTATTTATTGTCATCGTTTATTCATTTCTTTGGCAGCACCCTAAGCTTTTGCCTCTGCTGCCCAGTAGCAGCTCTGAGCCTATATTTAATTACAGGTCAGGTCTGATATTAACAACTGGCTCATGCCAAGGATTGATTTA